CAAGGCTTCAATTCAAGGTTTTATGATAGGCCTATAATGCTCAGATATAAATGATGGAAAAAAACAAAATACTTGTGTTGCTCACGAAATTTGTAAATCAGGACTAGTCAATTATCATTATATTTTTTTACTGAAATAACATTCATACTGTACAGTACAGTACCTGGCTAAAATCCAGGTTAAGGTTAAAAGTATCAAATATTATTTAAATCTTTACCCACACTATCAAGTTTTATGTAAAAAAATGATATGCCCAATAATTTGGGTGTAATATGACTCCATCACGCTCATATTTGGGCACATCGCACAAGCTTGTGATAGTAAGGACAGAGCTAAAACTTTTCAAACACCCCAAGTGATTTTGGTTCCTTCGTAATTTAAAAACCAAAAAAATGCCAAATAAAAAGCCAACCCTAACTTTTCTTTTTCAGATAATGTTTTAGCTTGTGAAGGAACACAAAGACTAAATAAAAGTAATCAAATACACAGCTAAAATCATAAATTTCTGTCTCTACGCTTGACATAAATCACGCTGCCAAACTTGTGGCGTGATATTTACTTACTAAGTTTCCTTTCCATTTCATCACAACGTCTTACTTCATTGACGAATTTCCTTTGGAATGCATTAACATCAGGATTAAGCTATAGGGGGGAAAAAATCAAAGAAATGAATTAAACCAATTTAATTTAACTGTTTATCATCAACTCAATTCAAATGTTTTATGAGACTATCCCTGGTATTCTTAAAACTGATTTTTTTTTTAGTCAGCCTAGGGTCAGGCTGAATTGCCGACTTGGAATATTTACTTCACTAAAAACGGGATTTTTGTAACTCACAATAAAGTGAAATGAGTAAAAGGACTGTATACACAGGTCTAATATATCTTCAGTGTGTTAACAAAAGAGACATCAAGTTTAGCTTCCAAAAGGAGAAATTAACATGTTTGCTAGCCACATGCGATAGTTCCTGATTTGAACAAAATCCCCTCACGTTGCGGTCATGTAGCTTCACCACATGATTGTTTATTACAATGATGAGGAAATGTGTTTTTGAACGTCAGACACCAACTTAATATTCATCCGCGTTACCGGATCTCTAAAATTCCGTCTGCTATTAAAATGAGCACCTTTCGTTGGTTAGTTTGATAGTTGTTGCTTGCCAGCCGTCTTCAGCTGAACTAAAACTAGGACCTGATTTAGTCATAGTTAGAACTTTGACTACGTTGTTTATGAATACAGGTTTTGATTTTCCATCATGCAGTCTATGATGCAGTGAATGATGTCATCAACAGATTAGTACTGTGTTGTAACTGTGTAAAATTATGTATTAAGTATTGAATAAAAACTTCTTTCAGAAGTAAAATATGAATGAATGACAATTAATATATTACTATTTAACATGCTGATAAATATTAATATTATTTGGGTTCATCATTGTTGTCATCATAGTATTAATATTAATCACTGTGCTTATTCGACTGGTTAATTTCGTTGACTACTATTTTTTGTTGAGTATTATTTTCATTCAACTGGTTCGTAGACTTTGACGATGAAATTTAACATAAACCAGAGTGTGTTAATCAGCGTTAAGTTATCCATGCGACCAAAATAAACATGGCGCATTAGTCAGTTTAGCAACAACATTTGCGTTAATATAATTTAGATTAAATTTAAGAACATAAAGATTAAAATATTTACTCACACAAAGTAAAAAAATAATTGTAGGCTAACATAATTCAAAAACTGGATGAAAATACGTATAAAAAAAAAAACCCATACTGCCACAAGCCGAGGCAACCTTGATTACTGTACGCAGCGTGTAACTATGCCATTTTGTTGTATTAAGTATTTACCAGTTTTCTATTTGATCGGTCATCTTCGTTAAGAAGGATTTTACCACTATAAAGTAGGCGTGGTTTAACAAAGAACGACCAGTCAAATACGGCCATTATCACACTCATTCTCTCTGAAATAACATATTCCTGTCTTCTATTAAATAATAATCGTGCATCTATAATAAATGACTGCTTGTTTCTTGGTTGGCTGTTACAAACTGATTCCATATTATTTCACACTTCCATTGAAACATTAGCAGATATTAAAGATTTACGGATGAAAAATAATATGGTGTCTATAATTATGTGAACTATAACACCGTTCCGCAGCCTGTAGGTCACGGGAAAATTTGGATGGGTTCCATAATCTCTTTAGATCGTGAAAACTTTACTTATTACAAACGAGGACCAACAAAATAAAAAATACAGTAAACGAAAGTGCAATATTAGTGCGGCATGTGCGTCAGTTAACGTTTTTGTAATGCGTGTGTTATCAAAGTTTCATGTTAAAGAATATACTTCAGGTATGACACCTGTCAGCGTTAGTTTTGTTCATTTTAACGTGTTTGGCTTTCAGATGAAAATCATACCAAGAAAACATTTTTTTCTCAATTTCATAAGTCTGTGTCTTCGCATAACCCATAAATCACCGTTCCGCAACCTATGGGTTTCAGGTGAAAACATTTCAATTTAATGCGTCTTCAAATAACCCATAAAATTCTGGCACCAAATCTAGGATTGTATGTATAGTAAAATAAATGTAAATCATTGATTTTTACAAATCTAACTTACAGTACATGGTTTTGTTACATGAGTAATTCAAAGTTATATTTTTTATTTTAGGGGTAGTAAATTGATTTTGTGGTGATGGTATCTTTTTTCAAAAGAATCAAGTGGGTTGTATCTTCTAATACCCTCTAAAACGAACATGATTTATTGACTTTAATGTTCGAAGGGTTGCGTCTGAGTGCTTGACATAATTTGGGTTGTCAGCTAAAAAGGCTGCAGAATGGGGGCATACAGTACAAAAAAAAATCTTCAGACTTTGAATATCAACAAATATTATACAGGTAAACTTGCATAAGTTGACTTTTTAAAAAGTCTTGAATAATTTCTAAGTCAATCTTATTTTTTACATGCCAAATTGTTGTGTCTTCCATTAATTAAATGATCTGCAAGTCAAATTTGAGCTAAATTCAAACAATTTTTTAATGCCGTTTTGGATTCCATACCCATGAATTCATATAATTCATGAACTTGCAGGAGATGGGTTATAATTATTTTCCAGGGAGATTCTTCTTGCTTGAGGGAAAATGGAAGGCCTTCCGAATTTATGAGACTTCTGTGACTTTTGAGAGACTTGGGACCCCAGCATAACATCCTCATTCTCCAAAAGGAACACCATGTACTCTTATTTACAAACAATACAATGAAATTGAGAAAATGGGCAACAGCCAAAGACACAAAACTTACATCTCTAAATTGCACCAATCCTAGTTCTCCAAGCTCTGCCACACATGCATAGGCTGCCTCTGATTGGAGGAACAGCTGAGCAAGGGTCATCTCCTCACTCCTGAACAATGACCCCATCCTGGTAGATTGATTTAATTTACAGGTGTTTTAGATATTTTTCTACAGGAAAGAAAAATAAGATGTTATTATACAAAAACAATATATTGGTAATAAAGTTTTGCCTTACCTGATGTGTTGTCGTACTGAATGCCAAGTCAGTACATTCCCAAATACTGTATTGAAAAAAGTGGGTAAGCCACAAAATACAGTAAGCACAAGATCGGTGGATTAGTCATTAGGACACCAGGCTAGTTATCTGGAAGTCATGGATTCGATTCCTACCCAAATCGCTTGCGAGATTTGAGTCGTGACGCAAGTCTGTGTCATCAAAATGTTGGGAGGGTTGCCATACATTTATAAAGAATAAAAATCATGACAATAGGCCTATCTGTATGCTTTATACAATCTATATGTCCATGGGATTTTGTTATAATATAATTAAAGGAATTAGAGTGTTAGAGTTTTTCTTTATCAAAATTAACTGGATTGTCTATGATCACTTGAACATGCTTTCAATATCTGTTTGGCATACTGTAGCCTACATCAACTTACAGTAGTCTTAGAATTATTGATTTCCATTATTTCTTTCATTAAGATGGCTTGTGTTCAGTGCTTTTTACAAATTTTTAAGAATGGTTTTTAGACCAGGGTGACAAACAGTAAGTTCTGAATGTTAATTTAATGTAAAAACCAAGTAACACGTTTACAACCAAGCAAGCATTTTAATCAGACTGAAACAATTCAAAGAGAGTGAACTTTATATATGACAATCTGTCGCTGCATTACTCTGATTAGCTTTGTAGGGACAATATATTAAATGCATACATAAACAAATTACAAATGCATGCATGGAAGTATACAGTACGCACAACCTGTTATAATAGCGAGCGCACAATTATTTCTCTCTCTCTTTGTCAGACGACTGATTAGGAGCAAACACGGTCTTGAGTGTCTACATCTTTATCAACACATTTAGCGAGTTTAACCTTCAATTATTAGCAGTTAAAGTTATTAATTGATTAGTTTTATAGTGTTATTTTGAAGCATATTCTCATCCTCGCCAGTTTAAGGCAACTTTCTCGCATGCTCTGACTTGAGTCTCTACTCTAGGCCTAGGATAGGCCTACTTTTGTTCTTATACAGTAAGGCTTACCCCTGCCCTAGGGCCTACATAAGATTAAAATGCCTTTTTACTACCTAGTTAGTTCGTCGGCCTTACCGGTTGTTCGGTAGGCCTAGGCGGCGCTAATGCACTTTCGCACCTAACTTTTAATTCTTAATTTTTTTACCTGAATTTTCTTCTCACAGTAAAAACACATAAACTTTTTTTTTTTTTTATAAAAACACATTTTATAAGAACACTGAGGCTGAAATTACTTAAAAGTTAAGAACAAAATAAGAACAAATTGAGGCTGAGGTAAAATTCCAAATGAGGTTTATATTTTTAAAAACCAAAATATTATATCTGTACATTATGCGAGTAGGTGTGACTGTAATACCCTCTATAATACAGTACAGTAGGTGTACCTATCTGACATTTGGAGGCCATTTATTGTGGGGTCACTTTCACCTACATTCCAGTACAGTGCATACTGCCATACAATTAAATAATTTTTTGTTTAAAAGTTGTGTAAACTAAGAACAAAATAAGAACATTTTGAACCTGAAATCAGCCAAAAAATAAGAACACTGAGCCTGGGCAAAATTTTACTGGTTCTTATAAAAAAAAAAAGTGTAATTATAAAACATTTTTACATGATTCAACTACTCATAAAGTACATTTTTTCAACAAAAAGATACCTTTATTAATATAGGTTGATAAGGGTTTCCGCGCTTGCTAGCACGACGAGCTGTACTTTTTTGCATTCAAGTAAGAAATTGCCAGAATGTCCGAGTCAATTCTTAAATTTTGAAACAATTAAAGGCCAGTCTTATCATTTTAATTGGAATTTTCCCATGAAACTTCCGAGAACAAAATGTGGCATCATGCAGTACCATCTTTTTGAACTTTCTTGTCGTAATCGAGGTTAATCAAACCGACATTTATAATTGGCTTTAATAGTTGTTTTTCTGGATTTAGCCTAGGCCCCTAGGCCCTATCTTTCGATCTGTGTACGCATTTGGATCTTTACTAATTTTTGAAGCAATTATTGTACGTGTGAATTTCATGTGAACACACATAGTCAAACAACAGGACCATACAATATAAAGAATGACATACAATACGGCAAATAGATAAGTTTTCATAAACGTTTAATCAAAAGACTTCGCAGTACTTATTTGTTTGTGGGCTTATTTGTTGAAAAAGGTACTTTGTGAGTGGTTAAATCAGGTGAAAATGTTTGTTAATTATATGTGGTAACTGTGAGAAGAACGTTGAGGTAAAAAAGTTAAGAATTAATAGTTAGGTGCGAAAGTTCATTAGCGCCGGCCTAGGCCCCGCTAGCTAGGCTAGTCTAGCTACTGTAGCTAGCCTAGGCCTACCTACACTATTACTAGCCTAGGCTAGGCCCTAAGTTAGGGCCTAACTAACCTACTAAGCCTAGCTGTGTAGCCTAGCCTCTATTCATCGCGAACAAACAAAAACACAAAACCAAACGTAAATATTGTCCTAAATTACTTGTAATGTAGTTGTAGAATAAATCCTACTATTATAATATGAAGTATACCTCTTCAAAGAATGACTGCTATCCTACCTAAACTGCGTACAATCTGTTTCCCTCACTTCGTCGATCTGGCCACATCCATCCTTCATAAAAAAAGGGAAGGGAGAGTCTGTTGTTTATTAAAATGTTTTTCATACCGCTAGAGGGCGCATGCTCATTTATGATTACAGTATTGTTCTATGGTGGGTTCTATGAATAAAAATTCATTATCATCATCATCATCATCACCATCATCATCATCATCATCCTCATCATCATCATCATCATCATCATCATCATTATTATTATTATTATTATTATTATTATTATTATTATTATTATTATTATTATTATTACTATTATTATTATTATCATCATCATTATTATTATTAATTAACTATAATTGTTATTATTACTATTATTATTATTATTGTCATCACCATCTTTATCGTTATTATAATCATCATCATCATCATTATTAGTATTATTATTCATTACCATCATCAATATTATTATTATTATTGTATTTTATTATCATCTTCGATCATCATGACAATGACATCATCATCATTCATCATTTTTATCATTATTTCCATGCCGTGTGCTCTCCTTTATGTTTGCATCTCTTTATGGTACTTTAAAAAGAGTAAAATAAATGGGAAAAAATGAAAATGAAAAAAAAAAATTAAATAAAGCGGTGACGGTCACGTGGAAAATAATATTAATCGATGACACACAAGGCGCACACACACGCTATGATAATTAGGCCTCGTGATTACACATCACATGACATGACACCATGACACCTCTATTGACTTCCGGGATCGAAGTTTGAGCAGCGAAAGGGTTCTGTTTTTTTCATTCAGGAACACCAGAAAGGTAAAATTGCTGGTAGGCCTAAAGCATATCGAGTTACAATTATATTCTACATTAATGTGCAATGGCTAATGAATGTAGCGAAATCTACAATTTCTGTAAAGACAGATTTGCTGTAATTTCATAATTAATTAGCCAGCGGCTTTGGCATAACAAAATAGGCCTAGAGTCCTAGCTAGGGCCTACTAGGCTTTAGTTTAGAGAGGTTAAGAGAGGACTGGAGACCGAGGACGCAAGTGGAGAGAGAGGGCGTTGTTGCTTTTATTGCAGCTCAAACCTGGAAATATTTGCTATTTAGTATAATTAGATTATTATTGTTATCATTAGATAATCATAAAATGAATGAAAGCTGTCACAATAAAATTTAAAATAAATAATGCTGATAGTGATATGCCACTTGTCTCTAGCTCGCTAGCCAAAGTAAGGTCGCTTTTTATTGGAAAACAAACTGGGGTTCAATTTCAACAAGTTTGACAGAGGCCTGAACCAGGTGGCTGCCTATCTAGAGCCTCAGTCAGGGTCCTGAAATGAAACCCTGGGCCCTGGTTGATTCATGGGTTGAGATTTCAAGAGATCAGCGATTAACATTAGGATGGGCAAATTAATGATATAATATTTGTTGTTTGCATCGGACGATACTATGAGGAGGAGGTCCATGCTTGTCTAACATCAAGAGGGAGAGGGGCAGTTTTTACCTTCAATAGAGTAAGACCCATCAATCAGTCTTTTTTTTTTTTTTTTTCAGTTTTTCAGAAAAGATAATAAAAAACACTGAAGATGGGGTCATTGTTCAGGAGTGAGGAGATGACCCTTGCTCAGCTGTTCCTCCAATCAGAGGCAGCTTACGCATGTGTGGCAGAACTCGGAGAACTTGGACTCGTGCAGTTTAGAGATTTAAACCCAGAAGTGAATGCTTTTCAGCGGAAATTTGTCAATGAAGTGAGGAGGTGTGATGAGATGGAACGAAAGCTCCGTGAGTTGATCAAGTTGAAATCATGTATACCGTATCTTATATAACATGCGATTTTCCACATCTCTATATTGTTTGATGTGACGTTAATTTGCTCAGGGAGGGATGTAGGTAGAGGCGCTCGACAGTTGTTCATCCCTTCCTTTTCGCTGCTTCTTCTGTTTTGTTGTTCTGCTACTTTTGCTGGTTTTCTGTGCAGTGATGAAGCTTAATAAAAAAAATTTTTAAATACATTTTTCAAATAATAGATTTAATTTATACCAGTTTTTTTTTCCAACAGTAATCTACATCATTAATGCGTAATGTCTAAAGTAATATAAAGTACTCATAGATTAGGGCAAATAGAAGAATTTATTAGATTATCACTCCCATCCGCGTCAAAAATTTTGTAAATACAAAAATATATATATATATATATTTTTTTTTGTTGCATCATTTATTTTAACTGCATAAAAACAACTTTGCAATAAACAAATGCTCACAAAATATAAAGGAATTAGCTCCGAATTCGGCAGAGCTCTACCAATTTATTAGATCAGACATTTGGATCGACGTAAAGTTCAAAAGGCAAAGCCCATTCTTTAAACTTGTTTACTGTCGCTGAATATGAACAGCTCGCTAACTGCGGTTAAAAATAGACAACAACGTGGTCCGTCACTAAAGAAATCTGCCCAGTGGGCTGATCGGATCGTTAATTTCCAGCGTGTAGACTCGCGTGTTCCACAGCTACGGCTAAATATAGTCAACATTGCAGTTCCTCCCTAAAGAGACCCGCACAATGCGCTGATCGGATTGTTGATTCGCAGCATGAAGACTCGCATGCTCTACAGAGACTCTCGCTGCTAAAAATAATTTGATACATAATGCATAATACAAGTTGGCGGTCTTCCTTGTGATGGGTGTGTTCGGTTGGATTGATTGTTGTTGTTGGGCAAAAAGTAACCTACGACATCAAGAAAAAGAATTTAGGCAAAGGCTGGCCCAGCTCGAGGTAAAGACTACCTACTATATAACTATAATTAGGGTGTTCCCTTCCCTTTAATGCTTGAGTAATGTCTGATTTTTTTCACCGGAATATAGGCCTAGTTTTGGATAGGCCATTGAGTCACATGGCAGTTGTTTAAATGTCATGTTTGTTCTGTTCATGCACACGGAATACCCGGATGTAAATCCCCCAACCCCTCCAAAAAAAATATAAAAAAAAAAAATAAAAAAAATAAAAAACCCTCCTCATCGATTAAAAAAAAAAAAGAGTGATAATCTAATCATTTTTTCTATGTATCCTTATGATTGTATGCGGTACTGTAAGAATTGTTTAATTTAAGAAAGCAAAAAAAAAAACTAATGGTGGGTTACTAGTTAAGGGCATCAAAACAGAACGAAATTCATTGTGATTCAAAAAGTATTTTTTGTAAATTAAATTTACAAAACCTTAAATTAAAGAATCCCATATTTTTCAAATGGTTTCAGGTTACATTGAAAAAGAAGTGAACAGTAGCGGCATTAAGATTCATGATGCCGGAGAGCATGTTCCAGCTCCTGCGCCACGAGAACTCATTGATCTGGAGGTAATGCTAATGAATCGCGCATCTATGGGAGCTTTTCCTGGTGTTCCCTTTGAAAGGGGTTGGCTGTAGTGTTAAAAGATATACTTTTTACTCATGAAGTGTCCCCTTAATAAGTTTGTCACTGTAATGGTTTCCCAAAGAAGGTGTTCCGCTGTATTGCATTTGAAACTTTTAAGTGGACACACATCCCTTCTGCCCCTGTTTGAACCAAATAAATTTTCGCTATATTATGGGTTAATGAAAATGACAATTGTGTTTTCTTTGTAATAAATATTTTGTTCCGCATTCTCAATTTTGCACCCTTGACCACACCCAACATACACCCTTGTGGGTGCACACTTTTCTTATTCTAGCTAGTGTTTATCTTATATTGTATGTTTATTTGCAATGAACCAGTTTTTGGCCTGTAAAAGTGTTCAAAACATGCAACCTTACAGGCTATTGTTTACTAAATGCATCCATTAAACAAAAATTAATTAAAATCTTGACGTGTTGTGTTTTCCATCTGCAGGCGAAACTGGACAAACTTGAGAGTGAATTACGTGAAGTGAATTCAAATCAGGAGGCTCTGAATCGAAATTATCTTGAGCTGCAAGAACAGATGAACATTCTTCGCAATACTCAATCTTTCTTCAATATAGTATGTTAAATTTTTCTTTCTTGCACAAGTAAAGCCTGGCACCTCACTGCATCTTACGACCGTCGCACGACCATTGCACGACCGTCGCACAATAAATATAATACTGCTCCCTTTGAGCGCTAGACGATGAGACGCTGTCTACTGATTTGTCGCGTTGTGTTCATAGAATCGCGTCGGTTTTAGAATCAGGCCCATAACCTGGGCACCTGTGGTTCTCCCTTTAATAATAATAATCATTTGGTAGTCTTAAGCCTGTTTTCCGCTAGACGAATTTGTTCGCATGAATCAAAAGCGACAGTTCATCCACATTTCTATCAGAGTTTTTCTACTTTTTTGTGAAGCGAAAAATGCACAACAAATCAGAGCTCCGGAAGCAAAATAACGTTTTCGATTGACACAAATAAATTTGCCTAGTGGGAAACAGGCTTTATGTAGCGTATCATGCTAAGGCCTCGGTGTGCTTCACAAAATATTATTGCCTCGATTAATCGATTTAACACCAATGGATGGAACACATACTCAGCTCCCTGTTAAAAGTCCCATTCCCGGCAAAATTTCAGTTGTTAAGGAAAATCTGAATTTATATTTGTTATAAAGATTTATAAATATAATATGGAATTGCTAATTTAACTGAATTTAGACATTCCTAAGCATGAAAAAATGTAAAATAATACTGAAATTTGATTTTTTTTTTTTGTGTTCCACACAAAAAATAAACACGGATGAATTTTTTATGTTTGATTTTGAGATAGGTCTGCAAAGAAATATAGTAGGTGCCGGAAACATTAGCTTATACAACAACTGCTTGGCTAGGCCTAGCTTTACTTCAGTTTAGGTTCTGTTATCAGACATAAAAACGGCCGACATGATATTTTCAAGTTGCTAGTATTGACACGTGTGAAATATAATATTTCATTGGAATTATTTCAAATTTGTTAAAAAATGATTCTGACCGAGATTTTGGCAATTAAATAAACATATGTCAGGCCTACTCGATCGATGCGCACTTTATTAACTGTATAAAGTATACAGCGAGAGCATTCCAGCAGATGTGATCTACAACCTCATAATTTGCGACGAAGAAGTCATTGAGAAAATGGTAATCTCCTATGAGAAATAGTCTCTATATAACGCCCCCCTTGTCAGAAATTCTGTGGATCTGCCGCTGTTCTGATCGTGTCCACTGAGTGTGGTGGTGGTAGAATTGGCGTTAATCAGTACTGCGACGAGGACGCTTCCTCCAACTCCAAGATTTGTATCTCATATCGAAAGTATTTCATTCCATCACCTGGTATTATTGATTTATATTTTTCTATGAAGGTGTTTGCTTATTTTTTGCTTTTTTTTTTTTAGGGCGATCATCAAGCAACCTTTGTAGATGATCAACCGATTGTCGGGCAAACTGTCATCTCTGGTATCCATGCACTAGGGTATGTCACATCTATTTGAATAACTTTTTTTTTCTTATAAATATAATTACAATAGGAAACTGTACTCAGTACAACAATTTAAAATTGTTTGAAATGCTCACTTAAAGAAACCATACAATTACATCATTCAGACAAACACATAAAAACCATTATGTCAAATGAAGGAATTCCTTTGTGGTTTAAAATTGCATGTGGTTGCCTTAGAAACTATATAATTACGCTTTTTGTTATGTACATTCATATTTTTTTCAATCTTTCTACTAATTGTGACAATGCAGAATTTATTTAACTGAAATATTTTGTATTACAATATAGAATTATTAATAAAAAGTATAATATATCATATACAATTTGCATCATGAAAAAATGTCAAGACAAGTTAACAATACATGTGGTTGCCTTAGCAACCATATAATTACGCTTATTGATATGTACATTCATATTTTCTTCAATCTTTCTACTAATTGTGACAATGCAGAATTTGTTTTAACTGAAATTGTATCACAATATAGAATTATTAATAAAAAGTATAATATATCATATACAAATTGCATCATGAACAAATTTTAAGACAAGCAAAAACAATACAAACCGTGAATATATATGCACATGATTGCCATAACCTGTCCGAAATTCTCTGTTCATTCCAGGTATAAAACACGTTTTGTAGTAATGAGCATAAACACTTAGGTGATTTAGAATATTCTTACTTCTATGAATAATAGCATCATTAGACGACAAACCAACATGTGAAAATAATGAGTTATTACATACCATTCAACATTGAATAATACTAAGCTTGGTTTCCATAGAATCGCTTACCCTATGGGCGACAGTCGCTGACAGTTGTCAGGAAGGTTGAACCTAGTCCAACTTTGCAGACGAATCAGGGTGCATTTGCTAGCTGCCCTGCCTGGAAGGCACCCCGATTTATCTGCAACGCAGTCAGCAAAGTTGAAGGAGGTTCAACTTCCTAACAGCGACTGTCGCCGATAGGCTGAGCAATTCTGTAGAAACGAGCTTTACAGTGATGCTCGAGTAAATCTACCAGCTATTAGTAAGGCATAAAATTTATATGTGATATGGATTTTTAATTTTCCTAGATGTCTGTCAGGTGTCATCAACCGAGATAGATTGCCCGCATTTGAGCAAATGTTGTGGCGTGTGTCCCGTGGAAACATCTTTCTGCGGTACAGTGATATTGAACACCCTCTGCAGGACCCAACAACGGTATCTACTATTTATTTCTTTTATAACTATGTAATACACAGTCACACCTTAGTGTCTGCTTTTTAATAATTGTATTAAAAAAAAAAAACTATAAAAAGTGTATATTTATTTAATTTTTTTTTTAGGGAGATGATGTTTACAAGTGTGTGTTTGTCCTCTTCTTTCAAGGCGAACAGCTCGGGATTAGAGCCCGTAAAATATGCGAAGGGTATGTTATTTATTGATTTATTTATTAATACTCATTCTATTTACATCCATGTGCGCTAAGTACAGATGGATAGTACCCTATTAGATGTTGTAGTCACAAGTCTCAAACATACCTCTCAATCAGTATCACTCAACACATAGGCTCTCAATGTCTTTACTTCATTTAAGCCCTAAAGTTAGGAATTGTGTGTTTATAGCCTCGTTTACTATGTTTTAATCATGTTTATATTGATTTGTATTTTGTTTACCTTTCCGAGTCATTAGGTTCTTTTGTGCTGTTTTGTTTTATTCATGTGTCATTCCTATCTCAGTAAGTTACTTAAAAAACATCGTAGCCATTAATACGCACTGTCCCTAGTTTTGCATCTTGTGTAAAACTCAGTGGATTTAATACTTCCATTCAGCAAGCCACCCCGCCCCCCCCCCTTCATTTTGAAATCCTAGATACACCACTGTGCAATGCATGTATTCATTTTCTTGAAACATTCAGATGATTAAAAACCAGAGTACCAGATATCTTAATGTAATGATGTGCCTAAATCATAAATTTTGATGAGAAATTGAGGAGACTAATTTATTTGGTATTATTTAATTATGTACTTTATACAACTTCATAATATTTTTCTAGTTTGGTTATTAAATGTTTAGTCTGAGATGACTAAATTAATATTCTGATGTCATTTTTGTGTCAGGAGAAATAATACGAATGATGTTTGCCCTACCTTAAGTGTTATCGTACTGACTGCTGAGTACTCAGTAGTGAATGCTTACAGAATAGCATTGCAGTACATGGTGCTACTTGGGATTGGATTCATCACTAGCCACCAAGCGCAAGCTCGGTGGTCTAGAGGTTAACACATTCCAACCCTAATCACTTGCAAGGTTTTTTTCTGCAAGCATTTGGAAACATACTGAGAATTCCGTACGAATATGTCAGGTAGGTCTAACATCATTCGTAAATTACCATTAGAAATTTATTTAGAAAATTTTTGATGATTTTCGACCAGATTTCGAGCTTCGCTGTATCCTTGCCCCGAAGATATTGAAGAGAGGAAGGAGCTGACTACAGGTATCCAAACAAGAATACAGGATCTACAGATGGTAGGTGGAGTCAGAATAGATTTCATATGTGACTTAAACTCTGTCCAGATTTTCAAGCTTCTTTTCAACAAAAAACTACTGCATGCCCATATAATCAAAATGTGCCTATATATGGTCATGATGTGATGCCATTATGACCATATTTAGGCATGTCATGTTTTTTTGAAATAAAATTTGATAGTCTGGACAGAGCTTTATATCAATTTGGTTACTTAATTTGATACTTTTATTGATTTTTTTTTATTGACAATTCAGTGTTCTAATTACATTTTTGAGAAATTGTTTTAGCTCAGTGTACTTTATCTTTAATAATGATTTGTTTCCATAGGTTTTGAATCAAACCCATGATCACCGTCAGCGTCTGCTTGTGGAGACCGCCACCACTCTTCATGTGTGGTTCATTAAAGTCAACAAAATGAAAGCTATCTACCACACTCTGAACCTCTTCAACCTGGATGCCCAAAGGTGCCTGATTGCCGAATGCTGGTGCCCGGTCGATGACCTGGATGCTATTCAACTGGCCTTGAGACACGGCACGGTGAGATACTTTAGGCAAAACCATTATTGCTAAATAGCAAAACAAATGTTCCTGACCTATCTGCAACAGCCATATCTTGACAAGGATTCTTATCCATGGCATTGAAGGTGTTAAGATATTAAATTCAGAATGTGGGTCTTAGTGAACCCCCCCCCCCCCTTCAGCATTATTGACATCTTGATGACATTATTTTGATGGTTTTTAAACATGGTCTGCTTTTGAGTGGCCAATTAGGGGAAAATTAAAAATGCTGATAAATATTCTGGGCCACCCATTAAAAGTCTGGGCCCCTGGCCCCTATCTTTAGGCAGTGAGAACTCACAACTAATACACAACTAGATGCCAGCCTTGATAGGTCATTGATGATTCTTGTCATGTTCAAACAATGAATATTACTGAATTTCATAGTAAATACATAAATCAATAATAATGTTTTTAAAAAATGTACATTTTAACCTAATGATTATGGTGTGTGTAATAAAGATATTAACATGTTACGATTTGTAAGGTTATTACAGTAGTTCATTGCTAATATCATCAACATTCATAGGAGACTAGTGGAGCAAGTGTGCCCTCTATCCTGAATCGTGTAGACTCACCACTCCAGCCACCAACATGTAATAAGACCAACAAGTTCACAAGCGTGTTCCAAGACATCATTGATGCTTATGGCGTTGCTAGTTACCGAGAGGTTAACCCAGGTCAGTAAACATAAAGCCATCAGTTACTAAACATTTCTATCATATTACCTTTCATGGTTACATCAAGCTGCTAAATGGATTTATCTAAATGAATTATCTAAATTTTATTTTCTTGTTATTTCTTTCTAGCTCCCTACGCAATAATTACATTCCCATTTTTGTTTGCTATAATGTTCGGCGATGCTGGTCATGGGCTGCTGATGGCGCTGTTTGGATTGTGGCTGCTCGTAAATGAACGCAAGCTTATTCAAGCCTATGGAAATGATGAGGTGACATTTTTTTTTTCCTTGAGTTTTTCCCCCAGGCAATCTTTACTGGGCTATATGTAGCAAAGACAAGCCAAACTAATCACTCTTTGCAAATTGTGTTTTGGAGAAATTGGTCAAAACCTGTTGGAATGTCAATTTTTTTATATCTTTACTAAACTAAAATTTATATATCTATACATCATGTTGTTATTTTTCGACATTAAACAATATCTTTTAACAACTTTGTGATGGTCTTTGAGAATTTACCGAAATCATAAACTTTGAAGGCAGATATCTCAAATACTGATCTTTAAACAGCTGTATGTTTAAAATCCTGTAACTTCATAATGAAAAATGTTGGATTTAAGTTATTCTTTTACCATTTTATAATTTTTATTTTACTGTTTAACCCTGTATTAATAACCATAAATCAATGTAACCCTGTGTTAATAACCATTAATCAATCATTTACAAGGGTTGACTGGTGTGGCTTGTCTTTAAACGCATTATGCATTTCTCTTGGGGAACTGTTAAAATTTGGAAACTTTTTTTTTTTGCTCATTTCCACACCACTAGTGTTGGACTTTGTAGTATACAGATAAAATTTGGTGCTCTAGGAATTTTATCAAAAAAAATTTCCAGGCCTGTAGACACACCATATTTTTGTCGAGAATAGCCCCCTCTATAGCCTAATATGGAATCAACATCTCCGAAGGAACATCCTCAGGCATTTCTTTTTCCTTGAATAAAGGCCCCCAAATGACTGTAAACAAATTTAATGGAAGCAACATCATTCAATACATTATATTAATGTTCTACTCCAGTAGAATTACATGTTTTCATTTTGATGGTTGCTATGTGTTGTAGTTTCACATTTACAGTGACATTAAGGGGCATTTATTTGAGTATATACATATCCATTTACACAAAAAATGCCTCCCTCAAATAAAACCTGTCTCAACAATAAATGCCTGGGAATTTGTTCAAATAAATATGGTATATTACTTTAAAAAATAAAATCAAAATATATAATGCCAACGTTGATATTTATGATGATGATTTTTCCAAAACTGAAGAAAATGTTATGAATAATATTGATTTTAATTGAATAATCTTAATACTTATTAATGATAATTTACTTGAAATTTGAATATTTTTCATTTTTAAGGTATTTGGCATTCTCCTAGGAGGGCGCTATATCATATTCTTGATGGGCATTTTCTCAATCTACACCGGCCTCATATATAACGATGTATTTTCCAAGTCATTGAAGTTCTTTGATTCCAGTTGGAATGTTAGTGGGATGAAGTTCACAGATAGTGATTTGTATGCTGCTGATGCTTCCTATTTTCTGAGGCCACAGAATACAACCAATGGAATCCCTTATCCATATGGAATGGACCCTGTGAGTATAGTAATCATTGTGTCTTTCTAGCTTATTGAAATATCTACCCCCCCCCCCAACCCTTGTTGAACAGGTCTGGACCCCACCTGGTACGACGCCATGGTGAGGTGGTCGGCCCAAAAATATTCATTGGCCTATCAAAATAAAGTAATATTTGATCACCAATCCCAAATATTGTGGTCTAAAAGAACATTTTTTGACCATACCAAGCCATAAAACTCTCCCTATGAACCCTACCAGCAATTTTCATTCCAGTACCCTCACCAAGGCTCTAGTCAGCCCCCTTGGCTCGGACCCCACTGTCAAACATGTCAGATGGCCTTACTGGTTTTACCGCAATCAATTTTTGAAAGCTGCTTACCATTGTTATTCAAAACGGAAACTTGCACATTTCTCTACCTAAACATAAATTTTTGTAGTGCACTAATTTGTTTTTATATATTGATTATATTTATAATGTTATAATCTTTGTATATTTTGAAAATCATACATTAATTTAAAATACTGTATTTGAGGCATGTTGTGTCAAAATTGCTAATTTGTCACATAGGCCTGTATGATCATTTTTTCCCTATAAATCAAGAGTTTGATACATGATTATGTCCTAACGTCTTAGTTCGGGAAAATAAAGTCAACAAACCGGTTATCTCCGATCTTTTTGGTTGTTAATTGCATTTATGCACAAAAAAATTTTGGAAGATGATTACTGAACAATAACTCCAAGAGTGTTGTACTCTTACTTCCTATCTAAAACTTTGAAAATTTCAATAAGAGACACTGTTTTACAGGTATTTGAAATTTGAAAATTACCAATGACTTGAATTTCTGTTTTTGCTACAACTTAGCCATTTTTCCACATGCCTCATTTATTTGTTTATATATATATATATATATATATAAAAACATATATTGCCTTGGTTTGGCTCTGTAATCATTAGTGGTAGTGGGACTGGTTTGGGCCCTTCCTAAGCTGGTCAAACGTTTCTTTTGGGTCTATACCCCAGCTGCACTGATGAGTCCTGGAAGGCCGAATCGGATCCGTCTGCAGATATTGGGATTCCTTCCAGTGGATACTTAGTTGTTTATTTTGTCATTCTGATCGGATTTTCTCTACTGTTCCGTTTTAATTATATATATATATATATATATATATATATATATATATATATATA